ATGAGCACGACAACGTTGGTGTCTCTGTCGTGCCTCATAAAGAGTACAAAGAAAAGTACGTGAGAAAGTTTTTCTCCCACGAGGAAGGGAAAACTTTTCTTTGAGGCATTTTTTTGGTGATGTTTTTAATGGTACATAATCATTAGTTTAATTAGCTAATGTCATGTGAAGTGACCTTTAAGTAGTAGTTATTAAACGCTTTTAATAATTGAAATTTTTAGCAAATGTTTATGAGATTTTGGAGACGTTTTTAAATGATTTCTTTAGAGAATTCGGTCGGTAGCCTTGCTTAACTCTGGCTTGAATATTGCTGGTTGTTCTTAATTGCAAATTATTCTACATGACTCTCCATAAACCTATTTGAATCATAACCTTATCTAACTTATCTAACCGTCATTAACCTGAGTGAACCCTTGAATATTTTTAGAATTTGTCAGGCTCAAAAAATCTCAATGAATCTCATCTATTCCTAAGTTTTCTAATCGCATTTAGTTTCAATTGCTTACTGGCATTATCTTCAGTTGCCTTGCCCAATTTTTTCCCAATAAATTCTCAAAAATTAGACGTTTTCGTGACGTTTTCAAAGATTATATATTTTAATATAACATATCAAATCATCTCAAACAACAAGTGTATAGGCACCCATCACGCGTTATTATAACTTAATTTCCAAGTTAATTCATATCTTATCTGGAGGAGAGATTACCTTTGATTGCCTTTGATTGATGGACATAAATTGTTTGCTTTTCAGTGATAGTATTTTATTTGGTTCTTCAACTTGTCAAATTGCTGTGCTGTGATGTGCTGTTGATTTCTCTTTGATTTATAGTGGATTTTCTAAGCGATTACCCCTGAAATGAGTAGACCCTTACCTTGCCTTAACTTCGGGAAAATCTTTACTTGGAATTTAGATGAAACCAAACACTTGCGCGGGATTTTTGCCAGAGATTGTTTGGTCAGTTTGTGGATATTTAGCCAGCTTATCTTGTGGTTTCTCTATCTCTCTCTGCGGTACACTCAGTGGCTTAGTCAACTAATCAGCTAAGATGCCACAGATGCCCAAGCAGATACAAATGCAAACACACAGCCCGAAAATCAGGGGTGGCAAATCAAGGCAAATGTCGTCTGCTGCCAAGACAAATCCAAATCAATCTTCTGTGTCTCTTCTTGGTTGTTTGCTTAATTTGACAAACGGAATACATACATATAATTTGATGAATATCTAAACTGGCAGCCTAGAACACTGTGAACAGCGTGTTCCCAAACACACAACCACGACTTTGTCACTAATTCAATAAGCAGCCAATTACAACACGGCAGGAGGAATTTTCCTTTTGCTGTACGACTTCCTGATGTGACAGGCATCCCCCTCCTAGTCCATTTCCTACCATCTCATCTCCCTCTCTATCCATTCAACGTACACGCAATTTTCATTTGGGTATATGAAAATTTAATGTTCTGGCTTGTGGTTCCATAAATTGCCATAATTATTATGTTGCTCTTTTCCTTGACAGAGTTAAGAGGAATTTCTTTAAGAATTTATTTGCTTTAAGTGGTCCTTAAACACTGAGAGAAAAGGGTATTCAATTAAATATAAACTGTTGTGAATGTTTATCCATCCTAAACCCCAACCTATGTACCTTCCGCAGTGAGCTTCCTTCTACAGGGTAACAAAATGAAAGCACGTGCCGCATATATATTTATTTGTAATTGTTTTGCTCAAGGAAGAGGGCAAAAGATTCATTTCAACGTGTAGCCCTGGCATTGGGATTGAATGACCCAAATTCAATTTCAACTATGACCCACTCCTGTGACCCCCCGCCCAACACAGGACGAAGTTCCCGCCACTTCCAAGTCCTACCACTCCCACGGCGGCAATCATAAGTACGTTTTCAGTTACCAACGCAGCGGGCCACCACCGGGCTTCCACAGCCGACAAAAGCCAAGGGGCACGTCGAGGGCCAGAAGGAGATGTCTTGTTGTTGGACACCATAATCAACGCAATGCAATTTCAATGTCTGACTCTCGTATTTCACTTTAGTCCTGGCTGCAGCCTCCAGTACAGTGTTCTTAAAGTTCCAGTCTTCATGCTACCCCTGCCCATGCCTGTTTCTCTGTACGAATCCCAAAGCTTTTGGTCAAGGTGGGATTTTTGTCTCTCTTTGTGTGAGCATGTGTTTGTGGTGCCCAGTGGTATGCGTATAGCCAAGGATCTCATTAGACAAATGTATTTGCTGACTAAGCAGCAGTTGATTTGGGTTAACCATGGCCAAAAGCTGACTACCAACACCCTGGTTAAACGCTTTGCCATTTCCAGTTGATGCGATTTGAATATGCCCCCAAGGTTTCTGATAAATTTCGAATTGATGGAGCGGGAGGTGGAGTTCAAGGAGATACTTAATGCCCGATTAGACTCTCGTGCTTTGATTTTTGGAACATCTGTTTGAAGTTGAGTTGAGTTTTAATGAGATTTGTTGGCTGGAAGGAGTTTCGGAAAGTTGTGCAATGAGAGGTGTCTGGACTAGACAGCAGACGTGCTGTTATTTTATAGAGAAACGGTTATGAAATAGGATGTGGAAATGTGAAAAGAAAGACAGAAAAGACTTTGTTTTAAACTATATTAGAGACCTCTTTAAATTCTTATTCTGCAGTTGAATTATTCTCTACAAACTTCCGCTTTAATCTTTCTTCTTCATTCAATTAAAAACCATTTTCTTTCGGCATTTGTTTAGGAATTCTTTTAGTTGGGTCCCTTGACTGTCTTGATTGAGTGTGAGTGTTCTTCTGCTGCTGCAGTGTCACCAAAGGTCACTGATAGAGCAACCTCATGCCCTGACTCTCCTCTGCCTGGCTGCTAAATGCCCATTTCATACTTGAAGCGATATATTACTCGATTAAATGACGCTGACACTTGGATGACTTCCACGCGGAGTGTATAAAATGCGAGTCAGTGCACGAGAAAAGCTGCGGGAAATGCAATCAGCGGAAGGAAACCCGATGGCCGGATGAACAGGAAGACAACTAATTCCGATTGTCAGTCAAGTGTGAAGCAGTCGGGGCATGAGAATATGTTTGCTGCTCACTGACCGAAACAAACATTTCTTCACAATATTCAAAATGTATTCAGGCTTTCAAATATTTATTCAAATACATATTTGGTTAATTTTTATTTGCCTTTGGGGGCCTACGGACAGGGAAAACAAATAAAACAAAATAAATCGAAATTTATGCAAGTGTTTGAGTGTATGTGTGAGTGTATGTGTGCACTCACACTCGGATGATTCTTTGTTCGATTAGTTGGATGACCCAGCATGCACCCCTCGGGGGCTTTGTAGTTACGAACTAGTAAGAGCAACTAGTGGCCATTCACTCCACACCGACCCCCCCCCCCCCCCCCCCCCCCCCCCCCCCCCCCCCCCCCCCCCTCCTCTGCCCACTGGAGGTCATAAATCAAAAATGATTGATAAACGGTTTTGCAGCGAGTGTCTGTCGGAGAGCAGGAGATGGGCCAGGACATTGGACCCGACACGACCCGCATGGCATTTGTCGCCTGAGGGCACCTGCCTTATAACTGCCAAACCAAATGTCACCGCAGAAACAGTAATCATACGCACTGTGTGCCCGAAATTGCCCAACGTTGCGTAAAATCCGTTGATTACTTTATTTCTCCCCCCCAAAAAGTGTGCAGTGCACTCAACCGTTTTTGGATTCCTTCATTCCTTGGACCTTGTGGTGGCGACACACTGGCAGTGCGGTCAGCACTCACCGATAAGCGAATGGCCAGAACCCATTGAAAATAACCTGTGGCTTAAACCACATCCCAGCAAGCCGCAAAAAGAAAACCCCCACTCACAGAGAGCTCACAATTTCTGCACATTTTCTTTGGTCAATCAGCACACATTGATCGCCATTGTCCTTTCTCGGTTGGTTTCCCGGCTCTGCCAATTGAAGTAACATTTTATTTGATTTTAAATCGGATTTCAATAAGGACTTAGGGACTTTAAATGTGGGAAGCTGCACTTGCTTTTATATGCCCAAGCAAATATACTTTTATGGGTGAGTGGATTCGTAGATGGCGAAAGTGAAACGCTTGGATTGGAATTGAATCTCTGGCGTACAGCAAAGGCAGAAGGAAGGTGGCCAAAAGCAATTAGTCAGACTCATTTCTATTAAATCAACCAAATGGAATGATGCTTTTTTCCATAGGTGATTTCTTCTACAAGTTGCATGACAAAAATGAGTTGGAAAAAGTATTTGAAATTGGAAATTTATCTAATTTTGGTTATTGGTAAATGGCTCTTTCGTTAATTTGTTTATGCTTTTTAATTCTTATTGTCTACAAAGTTGTGGAAAATAGAACTGAATTGCTATTGTTCTACTTACTCTGTATGTTAATGCTATTTTTTAGCTGAAGAGACTTGGAACCAGAGACACACTGAAATACTTAAAATGCTATAAAAGCCACGGCCACTCTACAAAACAAACATACATTTTGAGACATTTAATTGTAAAAGGTGCGTCTCACATTGCCGCGAATCCCCTCTTTCCATGAAACATTTTTGCAGCGGCTAAATCTCATTGGGCTTCTGCTCGATTGACATTCTGACAGCTCTGTGATAATGAAAAGTTTAAGTTTAACTCTCTGCAGTAACCAAAATTATATCGCTAGTAAGACCCTTAAAAGTGTGTGTCATGTTGAACCTCACGCGACCACAGCAGAATATTTAATTATCACAAATATTTGTTTGCTCTGTAAATTAACTTTCAAATCAAAACAAAGTCCAATCATTTAGGGATTTATATCTTACGAATGAATTGCACTATCTAAAAGATAGTCGAAACGCCTGACATGCGCCGCCCTCTAAATAGGATTACAATTATCTTCTATATATTTTGTTGAAACCTATTTTCAAGTGTCTGGTATTATAGGTATCCCAATCTTATCTTTGTGCCTTTGATTGATGGCCAAATAGCTATAAATTGGATGTGGGCCCGTCCACTGGCAGTTAGTCGAACTTCAGTAGACTACAAAGAAAGATAAACCGAAAGAAAGATGATGATCAAGTCCTTTGCGGTGATTGCATTGCTGGTGGCAGTGGCCAGTGCCGAGCTGCACCGCGTGCCCGTCCTCAAGGAGCAGAACTTTGTGAAGACTCGCCAGAATGTGCTCGCTGAGAAGGCGTATCTGGCCACCAAGTACCAGCTGCCCCAGGCCCGTGATCTCAACGAGGAGACCCTGGCCAACTCAATGAACATGATCTACTATGGTGCCATCAGCATTGGCACTCCAGCCCAGAGCTTCAAGGTGCTGTTCGATTCGGGCTCCTCGAATCTGTGGGTGCCATCGAACACCTGCCAGAGTGACGCTTGCCTGACCCACAACCAGTACGACTCGAGTGCCAGCAGCAGCTATGTGGCCAACGGCGAGTACTTCTCCATTCAGTACGGCACTGGCAGCCTCACCGGCTACCTGTCCGAGGACACCGTCGATGTCAATGGACTGACAGTCACCAGCCAGACCTTTGCTGAGTCCACCAATGAGCCTGGAACCAACTTCAACAATGCCAACTTTGACGGCATCCTGGGCATGGCCTACGAGGCTCTCGCCGTCGATGGTGTCGCTCCCGTCTTCTACAACATGGTCTCCCAGGGTCTCGTCGATCAGTCCGTGTTCTCCTTCTATCTGGCCCGCGACGGCTCCGCCAGCGATGGCGGTGAGCTGATCTTTGGTGGCTCCGACTCCTCCCTCTACACCGGTGCCCTCACCTATGTGCCCATCTCCGAGCAAGGCTACTGGCAGTTCACCATGGCCAGCGCCAGCTCCGATGGCAACTCCCTCTGCAGCGACTGCCAGGCCATTGCCGACACTGGCACCTCCCTCATTGTGGCACCTTATGAGGCCTATGAGATTCTCGTTGACATCCTGAGCGTGGACGAGGATGGCTATGTGGCCTGTTCCAGCGTCAGCTCCCTGCCCGATGTGACCTTCAACATTGGCGGCACCGACTTCACCCTGACACCCGACTCTTACATCATCCTCTCGGACGGCAACTGCATGTCCGCCTTTGAGTACATGGGCACCGACTTCTGGATCCTGGGCGATGTCTTCATTGGCCGGTACTACACCGAGTTTGATTTGGGCAACAACCGCATTGGCTTTGCACCAGTGGCCTAAACAAATCAGCGAATCAATAAAGCGATTTTGAATATCTCAAGAGTTCTGTGAAGGTCTGCTCGATGTAAGCACTACTCAAGGTGAAGTTACAATCTTATCTGTGCTTACATTGATTCCCAATGAAGGTTTTAAGTGGTTTAAAATATGAAAAACAATGTACATGATAGGCTGGTGCTTCTAGCTACTTAAGACTAGACATAGAACGCTCCCAATAGAACTTGGCCATGAGAAATGCTTAACCCCTGACTAAAGGAAATGATCCAAATCGTAGTTCAAGACCATGACAAATGTTTACCCCCTGCATAAAGGAAATGTATCCAAATGAGTTGTGATACTTCGATGAGAGGTGTAAGCGTCAAGCATCTCATTTGTCCAGCCTGTTGCGTGGGCAATGATGCGTGTCCGGGGACTTGTGTCTCTCGAGCTGTCAGCAGCTGTCAAAGGGAAGTCAGGGCCCCAGCCCCAGCCCCAGTTCCACCAATGATGATGTCAAACTTTTGCAACACAGTACACATAACACTGGCAAAGGCAACGACAACGGCATTTAGGAGCAGCAAAACAGGAAGGCACTGGAAGGGAGTGACAGGAAGTGCAGGAAGTGCAGTGGAGCAATGCAAAAAAAAGCAACAGCGCAGGAGAGACAACAAACAGTTCATTTCGCTGCTGTTAGCAAGTAGCCAACGCAAATGACTTGCTAAGAGACTGTGGGTGAGGGAGGGAGCTACCCTTTACTGTGCGTAGAGCAAATGCTACGCCCTTCAAGAGAAGAGAGCGCCCATGCTGTAGGGTAGAGAGTAGTTCTCGCAGGATTGGTTTGTGAATGGGAATGGTAACGGTGGTTGACTGGGCTGTCGACTGGGTGTGGAATTGTCGCCTGCTTCGTTGAGCAGTTAATGAATCACTTAATGGAAAACCTGGTCTACTGCCTCACTTCCGTTTCGTTTCGTATGGCAGTGCCAGTGACGTTGCTGGTGTCGGTGTCGAATCGATTTTTAATTACCCTAGTATCAGCACTAAGCTTAAGTCGCTTAGCTTTAAATATATATTTAGTATTTAGTTTGTGGTATATGTAACCCATATCTGTTGTTGTTTTTTTATAGACCTGGCCACCACAATGATGACAAACAGATTCGCTTGCTTTGCTGTGGCCCTTCTGGTCGTGTGTCTGTTGGCCATCTCGAGCACCGAGGCAGCACCAATGCCCAGGTAGTTGTAGATTATCCCCAACACATTACATTACATTACACACACACACACACTCATAAGTTAATTAAATTCTGGCAAACCATCTCAAAAAAATGGTGCTATAAAAATATTTGCCCCGAAAGCAATTACCCCAAAAGTTGGCTCACAGACACGACGACACTGTTTGCTGTGCATTTGGTTTTTAGAAAATGGAAATTCTGGGAAAGGACCTACATATGAGTCTGCAGCCTTCACTTCACGCTTCACACTTATCCCTAGTCTTGTCAGCGTCTTCTGCACATTTAAAGTCCTCACACGACGGAACAATTTTCAATTAACAAAATGTAAACGTTGACAGAACCAAAAACCAAAAAAAAAGAAAAATCTTTGCCACAAATTTTGAGCAAGCATCCTTTGAGTAGCAGGGGTAGAACACACACATCCTTCGAGTAGCAGAACGAGAGTGAAAAGATAATGATTTTCTCGGAATTTGAAACACAATTTCCGCTTAAGATGGGGAGGCCAGCAGAATTAAACTATCAAAAATTCATTGAAGGTTAATTAGTAATTTCTTGAATGGTAAATCATAATTGGGTTTCCATGCAAATGAACGGAACGGAACGGGGGCTGTCCAACCAAATGTCAAATTGAACAGAGCCAAAGTAATTAGATATCCTGCATCTTCACTGTTGACCCCGCGAATTATTCATACAACAGACACACAAACAAAGAAAACTCTGTCTAATTTTCCATTTGACTGACTTTAAATAGCCAGAGCAATGGAGGCGGAGGCTATGGCGGTGCTGGCTACAACGAACTGGAGGAGGTGCCCGATGACCTACTGATGGAACTGATGACACGCTTTGGACGCACCATCATACGCGCCCGCAACGACCTGGAAAAGTGAGCAGAGATCAGGGATTGGCTTAGGTATATATCTAATATATTTCCCGCTTTTTATCATCGATTTTTAGCTCGAAGCGAACTGTGGACTTTGGCTTGGCTCGTGGCTATTCGGGCACACAGGAGGCGAAACATCGCATGGGTCTTGCTGCGGCCAATTTTGCCGGCGGCCCTGGACGAAGGAGGCGCTCCGAGACTGATGTCTAAATCAACAGAAAATATCTACGAATATCCGAATTCTGTGAACATAGCGAGGTCGAGTTATCCCAAACTTTTTCAGCTCACAATTCTCTCAACATTCTTCAGGTCTTCTTCGATTATGGATTTGATTTGTTTTGTTTTGTTATGCATTGTACATACATAAAAGAAAATATATAAATTTATTGTGGATTATGCAGGTATTGCTGCATAATATTAATTAATAGTTACACAATATCGGAAGCTATATATACACACTATATTACACCTGAAACAACCAAATAAAAACGTTAAACTGTTGCTCCAAAAAAAAGTTGAATCAAAAATCTAAGTTTATAAAAAGTGTTTCCTCTCTCACCATAAAATTCTCTTCCTCTCTCTACCTTAGACTCAGTCTCAAGTTATTGGCTAAATATTTACGACAAAAAATACGTTAAAAAATATTTATGTATTAAAAAAAAGGTAGAAAAAAGTAAATAACTCAAAAATAAGATTTGTATTCGCGCAAAAAATCTTTAACTAGGTATGTCTTACATAACACACACATGACAAAAAATATGAAACGCACACAAAGACATTTGACAATCCCCTTTGGCCCCCATGGAAAACACCCAACGAAATGATTTTTTCATTAAGGCAAAATGTAGATCATATAACCGAAAGAACAAAAATCGTGCTTGAATAATTTGTTTTATGGGTTTAAACCGCTGCAAGCGACTTTTAAATGTATTGTAAATATGAACAAGCGTACAATTATTGCGATACATATATAAACATATACCGATATATACAACAAATATATACAAAAGAAACTTTACTTGCATTACATACATATATTGTATTGTATTTAAATATTTTGTGTCTATGGAAAAATGCTGCATACATAAATGAAAACGAAATGCGTGAGTCGGGACGCGATTAAATAAAATCTTACATTTAGAGAAGCTCCGAAATATATCTAAGAACTTTGATTTCGAAATGGGGGTTAAGGATAATTCCATTTATTATAATTTAAGCGATGATACTTCAGTATATTGTTCATTTTTGATTTAAGAAGAGTTTACTCTAAGCAACTTTTCCCTTCATCCTGTCCCACTTCCTACCCGAAACACTTTTACACCTGACAGCACCCAAGTGCTTCATCCATCTAATTTAAAGAGCTCATAAATTTATCCATTTGGGGAGCAACAAATGCATCACAAACACTCAACTCAACGAGTGGGAGTGTACATAGCTGCAAATGCAATTGAATTTATTTATTTACAGGGGAATTAGATGCTCTGTTGATTTATGCATGGAGTGTGGATACAGATAAGTGTACCTCGAGGTGCCATAAATGCCAACAGCATGTTGTAAACGAGAGGGAGGAGAGTTTGCCCGTAAGCCAATAATTGCACATGGATTTGCAGAAAGGGAAAAGTAAGCATTAGATACGAAATAAATAAAGCAATTAATTCAAACAGCAATAGATTGCAGCTTGGGGCACAGCTAAACAAAAACCAAATGAAAGCTAAATAGGGATTTCAAAATCAAATTCAAATATTAAACCGATGAAGTATTGGCTAATGATCGACACAGATCGATAGCGATCATTAAGTAATATTTTTGCGTATTTTTCCCATATTCGCAGGCGGTCACATTGAACAGCTCTCGTTATCTTTTAAACAAACAAATAATACAAATAGTAGAATTTCAGTGGAATTTCCAACTGGTCATTGTTCAAAGACCTCCCTAACAAATCACTTTCCATGCATTGTTTATAAATCATTGACCTAGATCAATTGTTTAATTAGTGTAGAAAATTCTGGCTGTCCTAATAGGTCTTCAGACCTTCGTTTTATTTTATTATACCAGGTACTCGAAGAGTAAATAGGGTATATTGTATTAGTGCACAAAGTATGTAACGCACAGAAGGAAACGTTTCCGACCCCATAAAGTATATATATTCTAGATCAGTATCGATAGCCGAGTCGATTGAGCCATGTCTGTCGGTCCGTCTGTCGGACCGTCTGTCCGTCCTGATAAGCGCCTAGTACTCCGAGACTATAAGAGCTAGTGCCACCAAATTTTGCATCCAGACTTCTGTATGCTCACACTGTTACAAGTGTATTTCACCCCCCCCCCCCCCCCCCCTTCCGCCCTCACAAAAAGGCGAAAACCTCGCAAATCTACAATTTTGAAGTTAAAAGAAAACTAAAAACGCCATTCCGTAGGGATTGACCATATCTATCAGATCACCATATCTATATCTATCAGATGGGATCCGATTGGATGATTATTATAGCCATAATGAAGATTTATTTGCAGTGGCTAAACCCACCCCGTCCCGCAGCTTTTGTTGTTTTTTTTTCACATTCTCTCACTCACACTCTGATTCGCGCAGTGCCGCGTCGCTGCCTCTGAAACGTCTCTGCACGTCTCTGCCGCGTCTCTGCCCTGACTCTGCAGTGTATGGCTCTAGGGGAGGGTGGCGAGCTAAAGGAGCGTGTTGGCGTGAGTAGTGTTGTTGACAGATGAAGAAAAAATGTAAAACTTGACAAATAACCGCTAAGGTGCAGATGTATTACTGAGTGCCGGGTATAAAGGTTGTGACGCGTAAGAAGCGTCTCACACGTCCCTTCTCGTTTTTGTTTGTGATTGCTGACAATTGTTTGATCCAATAAAGATTGCGTACCATCGTTATCATAAGCGTAGCTGAAGAGTTTCCTCTTCCTCAGTACTTTTGATAAGCTTTAATACCTTAAACTGTACAATATAAAGATTCATTTGTCACTCGCTTCCAACTGGCAGCGAAATAATTCCCCAATAATTGATCCATCCCATTGGCGTGCATATCTACGCTCCAGTGCCAGTTCTTTGAGGCTCTGTCCAAGCATGCCGCATGCCACTCGTTGTCTATAGCTGCGGCGCTTATGTCGTGCAGATGGTCGCTCTTTTCTGTTTCTGTGTGCCACATAAACCTCTCCACCATCAGTTTCAGCGTTGGCTTTTAACTCTTTCAGTTCGTCGCGCAGCCATTGATTTTGACTTTCCAACAGATCCACCTGTAATTTATGAGTGATTTTAATGACATTTGCGGTTCCTTAAAGAGCACTTTGCACGTACATCATCCAAATCGAAGTCCATTTCACTGACAATATCGTAGGCAGCATCCAGTTCGGCTTGGAGTCGAAATAAAGTCTCCCTTAGGTTGACTAGCTCCTCCGATCTGGGCTCCACTTCACTTCGATGATTCTGAATTGCTTTCCAAGTCAACCAACACATTGTATGGCTAAAGAGAGTCTGTCTGAGGCAATTATTGATATGTTATCAATAGCTGGGAATCGTTGCCATATCTTTAGAGTTGAGTTTTTGCAAATATCGATTCAAATATGTTTCTAAGTATACGTTACCTTTTTGAAATTTAATAGTTTTAAATGGCTAGTAGAATTCCTAATAGAATGACAAAACCAAAAACATATTCAACTTTTTTTTCAATGCATGCTTCATTTTTATTTGAATGAAAGTATGAACCTTAAGGCTACAATACAACCAATACACTTTTTCCTCTAAAGATTGGCGAGCAAATGTTTAGTTTAGATGTTGTTTATATTGTAAACTGGTGGCGTTTTTAGCACTGCCAAAATGTAATCTCAGTCACTTACGAATTAGTCACTTAAAAACTAAATGGAAGAACTTATTTGATTGGCACTTGTGTGTGGTGGGGGGCTACAACCTATCGATCGAGTGAATAATACTAATTAAATGAATACACCACGGGGGCAGGGGCATATGAATGCGTTGCGTTGCGTTTTGTATAAATTAAATGTGTAAAGTGAATGTTTCTTAGATTACAAAAATTGAAATATTTACAGTCTTCTTCTTCGAGTCTTAAATCTTAACACCATTCGCCTGTACGGCAGGCAGAGCAGTCACATTTGCATTTCCATTTCCATTGCCACTGTGGCTGCCCGGAGACAATTCCATGTACTGAAAGGGCACATGATAACTCTGACCCTTGTGCTCCACCAGCAAATGTCCACGACCACTGGAGGCACCCACCACAGTCACCGTTTCGCCTTTTTTCAGCTGCTGTGAGTCCGCTTGTCCAGCGGTTGCCTCCTCGGGAAAGCTCGTCTTCATGAGGCGACTCTGTGGATAACCCAGCTTCGAATTGCCGCTGATTGTATAGGAACGGGAGGGTGGCACAGGTGGTGGACGTTCCTAAAATGGGTATGTACATAAGCTAAAGGATTGTTGTTATAATGGACAGTTTCAACATACCAAATCCAGTCCAAAGAGACTGCAGGTTTGCTGTATTATCTTCTGATCGCATTTCTCATGTGGATCTGGCGGTGGAGTACCTGCAATCGGCTGTGGTCTGGGCCTGGTCACCGTTCCTCCAATGCAGAGATTTGTGGATTTGGCAGAGAGGCGTGGCACTGGCAGCAGTGAGAGGAGAAAAGTTATTGAACCATTCTTTTCTTATGGGATTTTTAAGACCCTCACCTGTTGTTGGAGCTGCGGCAGCCACTGCCGCCAATGCAGCCATCGTCGTAGAGGCGGACTTGCTCTGGGAAATGTGAGAATGGCTGCTAGGCTGCTTGGCCACTGGCAGTGGAGCCGCCGATGGCGATGGCAAATGGTGGGGAATCATACGCGTACGCTTGACGCCGTTGCCCATCTTCTTGCGCCACCACCAGCCACGCCAAGTGGCCTGCATCAAGGTGGCGCTCTTATGGCGGATTTCCGTGCGCAGATGCTCCACATGCTGGCGTATGCCCTCGCTGAGGAACACATGGCGCTTGCCCGGTGTCCAGGCTAACGTCACGGAGCCATCTAGTACAGGTGGCTGCTCCATGGCATACTGCAGGATCAACTGGCAATCCTCCAGGGCCTTGTCCTCGCTGCGTCTCAGCAGGCGGAAGGGGGCCAGCATACGGTAGCGCGCATTGAACTGCTTGAAGCGCATGCGATGTGGGAAGCCGGAGGCCATAAGGTTGACCGTTTCCAACACCTGCAACGATCTGATCTGCCGCACAACGGTGGCCCGATCGAAGGACCCCGCCTGCTCGGCTCCATTGCTGCGGATGCAGCGCACAAAGTGCGGTCGGGCATGCACCAGGGTGCGCAGCAGGTTGTCCAGTCGCGTGTGAAAGTCCTGCGTGAGCGTGGACACGGGCTCGTCGCCGTTCAGCAAGTCCGAGTGAGAGGTGGGCGAAATGCGGAAGCTGAGACCGCGCGGCGCTTGCTGTTGCGCATAGAGCGCCTTCAGCTCGGAGCCAAAGAGATGTGTGGCAAAGCCAAAGTTGCAGCTGTGCTTGTAGAACACCGCCACCAGATCATCTGGCACCACATCCCGATTGGTGTCCAGAAAATCCGTCGTATCGTACTCCACACGTCCCGCAAAGTGACGAATGAGAAACATGCGCGGATCGTGGGGCTCGGCGGTGGGTTTCGTCTCCAGACGAGTGGAGCAGCGATGCTGCACCTTCAGCTTGGTCACATAGCTCTCGGCGGTGCCACGCACCGAACACTCGGCATCCAGCATGCTGAGCAGGCCCGTGCGCAGCGAGGATATCAAATCGATGCACGGCACATTGTCCACGTAGTCCACCTCGGTGTCGCACACGATGCCCTCGTCCCGGCAGGACTCCACCGAGGACTTGAAGATGTGCGTGTTGTAGAAATGTTGCATTGTCTCGGCACACAGATTGATGCACAGATGCTCCAGTTGGGCGTGCGGTGCGGGTTCCTCGAACCCAAACATATCCAGTATGCCGATGAAGCCGTCCGTGGCATGCCGCACCGCATTGTTGAGAGCTGCCATCGATTTGGATCCCGCATTGCCGCCTCCAATGGTGGAGGCATGCTGTGAGGCGGCGTCGGCCTGATTGTGCACCGACTCGTTCGAATCGGAGCTCAAAGTGCCCAGAGTGGAGCCCAGGCGCTTCAGGCTGTTGGCACGACGCACAATCGTGGCCACAGTGCGGCAGTAGAGCGCCTTGGCCAGGCAATCCCGCGTCATGTTGGCATCTCCATCCCCACACACGGACTTCACCAGCTGCCCCCGCACATTGTGGGTGCGGGTGGTAAGGCCGCGAAAGAGTGCAGCTGGCGGTACGCCCAAAAGACTGGCTACCGAATTTAGTTCCGTTTCTCCCTTGACATCCACCTCAAGGCCCTGTGAATTATGAGCGAAAAAAATTCGATTAATATTTAATTGTTCCTTGGGTTGAAAAATAATTTCTCACTCAGCAAAAATCTCCGTTATCGAACATGATTTAAATTCAGACGTAAATTACCACTCAAACATCATCGCAAGAAATTTATGAAAATATTTTGGCACACATCCGACCAGAGCGGGGTTCGAACCACAGATTTCTGGGCTAACCAACCGCCGCTCTATCCGAAGCACCAGCGTGGCATCCCGTGTGCTAGTGTCTGAATACGAAACATAAGGCGGCGTTAAAAGCAACACTAGATGGCGCTGCAACGCAAAAGCTACAAACTAAACAACAGATGGAACTAGTGTGCAGTTCAAATAAATTGAGTAAAGGAAATAACGGACAAAATGAATCCACAAAATTACAAAAATCCATAAAAAAAAATCCGAATAATTGTTATGAATTTATACAAAAATCGTTCAAATTACTTACCCCACCATCGATAAATTGAACATTGCCCAGCAGCAGTACCGCTGCCAATACTCGCACCACATCCAGAAATGGTATGCCCAATATGCCGAGGCACGTCTTCCAAGCCTGGAAACGGACTGCATCCTCCTGCTCGTTTTGGCACGTGTCGCCGCGTAAATAGCGCAGATTCGCCGGCGAGTAGCCCTCCAAGTGAAGCTTCTGGCGCTCCTCCCGATTCAGACCCGCCAGCAGCTGGTAGAAAATGTGATAATTCTTCTCCTTGGGCAGCGGCCGGATGACGCGCGTCTGATCCAGGAAGTAGCAGTGGATTTTGGTGCGATAGAGAGCGCCATCTGTCACCTGTACCTCGATGAACTGGCCAATGCGACTGGACTCGGAGTTGGTGGTGGTCTTGGCCGAGCCGAGGGATCGCAACACCGTGAAGGCAGCGGCCAAATGCTTGAATGCATCCGTCTCCGGTCCACCGCCAGCAATGGCAAACAGCTGGCGAAGCATCAGCATGGCATTCGCTGTCTTGCCCGCACCCGAAGTGCCCGAGAGGATGATGGCCTGCGGATAGCCCGTCTCGCTCTGCTGCCGCACTGCTTCCTGGACAATCTTCTGCAGCTGTGGTGCCAGCGGCATGGACCGTGTGGAGGTGAGAGTCAGCGGATTGCCCACATCCAGATAGGGATTGATGGAGAGCAAAATGGGACCAACATTTGTCTGAAAGATGGAAGGCAAGAAACGTTAATCAATGGTGATAGAATAAATTTGGGTATAATATGGATATATGATAGAGTTCTAGGTCTATGGGGGGACAAATCCCTAGCTATACATATCTCTTACTACCAAGACGATTATTTAGCCAATAAACTCCACACCTGTGATGTGTTGGTAACGCCTCATTCACAGCACATGCGGATGGACACTGGACACACTGTTGCAGCTCGTTTAGCGGAGAGACTTCCTTCGGCATTTGCCGCTGCCCGACGATATATAATTGTCGAAATTAGCAGTTAATCTCAGAGAGGCCGAGTGCAAACGGAGTTAAACTTAATGACAAACTATCACAATAATTGCTGGGACAGTAGATACCGTCGTACATCCCCCCATAGAGCGTCTGTGTCTCTGAGACCGGTTTCTGTGGCAATCACTGGAACTGGGACTGCCAGCAAATAAAAGCGAATTTATGTGGCGGCTTCCCGTGCTGGATGGTGGATACTTACAAAGTACCGCTGCTCGTTGAAGCGGGCCTGAAGTGTACGCATAACGGCATGCTCGGTGAGTGGTCCCGGCAGATGGATGAGGTCCTGCATGTCCTGGGCCAATTTGGGCAAGACGCTGATCTGCTGCAGCCTGGCGGCTGGATGCGGCGCGAAACCAAAGCCAAAGGGTAAAGTTTTGACGCTCTGACAGGGATTCGCATGCTTCGATCCGGGTATGAATGGCAGCTGCTGGCCATGGCCATGCGAATACTGGTGTTGGGTGGTTCCTGCTCCTCCAACTCTATTCGATGCTGTCACTCCTAGTCCATTGGAGTTGGAGGAGCGCATGGGCAGCGTGTTCGAGTTGGAATGGGAGTTTGAGTGCGAGTGGGAACCATGGCCGAGGATGTTTCCCATGCTACCCATGTGGGGCAACGTGCCAGTCGACGCCCCATGGCTCTGATGGTGCGTCAAGGACGTCTTCTCGCCCAACTGATGCGGCAGTGGGTGCGGAATCGATGTGTTACGTGCGGATACCACCGTACCAGAGCCCGCATTGGCCGGCAGCGTATGGCTAAAGTTGTGCTGCGAATGCTAGTCAGGATTACAGACAAAAAGTGTTAATTTTCATTCATTTAATTTCCTGGTGGGTTGCACTTTTACCTTGTGTGACACTGTGTGGTGGCCATTGGTGTGCTGTTGCAGCGCACTGGCGGACAGCCCGCCAGCTGCAGAGCTCAGATTCAGATTCGGAGTGGAGGCATTTAGGTCAAAGTTGTTTGCCTTGGAACCCACATTGGCACCGCTCCCTGGCGAGCCATGCGGCTGGGTGCCATTGGTCTGACCCTGTGCATGACCTTGACCCTGACCCTGGCCCACATGCAAACGATTGCGGAGTGTGACCAGCTCAGTGCTCAGGCTCTTGAGCCGCTGTTGCAGATGCACCGCCTCGTTGGATGATGAAGCATCTTTAAACAGAGGAAAGTAGAATATGATCAGCTGTTTTGAGTGCTTAATAGTGTAGTGTGTGAAGTAAGTATAGTGTTGGGGAGCATAGACGAGTTTTGAATAGCTGCATACATAAATCTTATTCCTAAATGCTTTTAAGGTGTAATTTTCGCCCCAAGTCAATACAATTAAAGCTCGTCCTGCCGTACATCAATTTTTATTGACTCTTAGTTAAATTTGTTAGTATTGGCGGTGCTACATCGTAATTTATCTCTCTGTGAAAGCATCAGAGTTTAGATCTATCGTTTGTAGCGGTTGCAGGAGCTGGGATCGTAGCATCCCCCCATCATGGACGCCGCCAAAGTGTTCAGTCTCATTGTGGACTGGTAAGTCATTGGATAAACTAGAGGTTTGCGCTCCTCAACCCATCGGATCGGGCTACGCAGCTGCTCCACGCTGTGTTCCAGCTTGATGCCACATTTTCCCTGATGGTATTTGAATGCCGCCGGTTTTTGCAGCTTGTCGTAGGGATCCCGGTAGTAGTCGCGATATTTCTGGCAGTCCAAGTAGAAGGTGTCGATTCTATCCAGAGCCGCGTAGTCCACAGTCACCAGCTTAATCTTGGGCGCAAAACCCAGAATGGCACGCCGCTCCACTTCAGAGCTTTTGGACACGCTCAGCATGTCTACCTCCGGAATTATGATGGGCGCCATTTCAGTGTGTTTCGTGTAAAAAAGCGAATAAAATAGCGTAAAAAAGTGCTACAAAAATAAACTGTGTGCGTGTACCAAAGAACCAAAACAAACTGATCAAAACGAAACTCAAACGACTGACATGACATGAAAACTGTGTTGGGAAAATTCTGACAAGTTTGTATGGGAGGGTGAATGCCAATGAAAGTTGATCAAAGTGTCACTTAAGCACTTGGGAGGTTCCAACATGTTGCCGTTCTATGGCAGGCAGATATCCCCTCATACATCACTCCTTCCCATTGAAATTCAGACCTTTCTCCACGATTTTGTATTGTATCCGTTCAGGAGTAGTATTCATTTCAGTATTTATTCACACTTGAATTTCCATAAATTATGTCTTGCCCGTTATGTGTCTTTAGAACTCCACATAACTAAGTTAATTTCCAAAATCCTGGAACCACTCGACTGGAGACGGCCCTCGACTATGGCAGTTCAGGCTGTTCAGGTCTTCTTTTCTGTTAATTTCATCAGCTTTAGCTGTTCCACGCATAGAAAACGAGTGGGAAAGAGGAGAATAAGCAGCTCGATGGGACATTCGAAATATTACCAAAGTGCTGTTTATTTAAGGAAAATTTAAATTCACTTCGTTCCCATTCAATCCATCAATTTAAAATACATTTGAACAAATACAAAAGCCTCGAGCTCTTCAGCTTACTTGGCTTTTGCGATTTTCCAATATTATGCAAGCGGAAATTTGTTGAAATATAATTAACAACTCAATAAAACGGAAACTAAAGTCACACCAATTAATTTCGAGTTGACTGGCAACAAAAAAAATACTCCCGCACGCGAATCGGTCTGGAGACACACACGGATTGGGCATGGGGCTTGTGCCGCTCGAGAAGACGCTAAAGAGTAATGAGAATACATCGAACGATATGTAGGATAGAGTTAGATTAACATAAAATGTTAATGAACCAATTTCTTCGGCAGCTTGGGATATAAATAGAATGCGCAAATATGAACACGGCGGCAGGTGCAAAAGAATATAGAATAAATTGAAGAGAAATAAAAAAACGAAAAGCTCACTGATTTATGGATTTATCTTACAAACCTGAGGCTCAGAGGTCATTCAACAGACAGATTGTAACCCAACACTCAAGCCAGGCCAACGAGTTTTTGACTTTTCCCTTACAAAACATTTTTTGGAGAAACCTGTCTAAAACCTGTCACTAATTTTCATGATCCATTTAACAAATCAAACTAATTGGCCAATGGAAAAACATTCACCATTACAGAAACAGAAAATCAAGCCCAAAAACCTTTTCTACTTCTCCCAAGCATTTGGTCTGAGCCAATAGCCAGGCCATGCCACAAGCCACAACGAAATCAGATTCGACAAAATACAGAAAAACAATATCATTGATATCTCTGGAGGAGGCTTTGGCAGGGAAACCAGTTTTAGTTTTTTCTTTCTTCTTCTGATTTTCTGTTTTAGTTGTTTAAAGGCTTGCACTCTCCACTCCACAAGAAATGTAAGACAAAAGACAGAGACAAAGATACAGTCCATAGTTGGCACTCCAAATATTGGCTCTATTCAGTTTTTTATCGATGATGATGATGATGATGATGTTGAAGAGCTTTTCTATTTTGTGGGTTAGGGGCAGCTCCACATCTTAACAATTATAAAATATTTTTTGTGGTGCTGATTTCTAATTCAAATGTTCATGCTAATTAGTCATTGAGTCGTTGATTGGCTTTTCCTTTTTGTTTTTGTGAAATTCTTCATGTCTGCTGTTGGTTCTTTTTTTTTGCATGTAGAAAACATTTCGACAGGCAGCAGCGCAGCCAAGAAAATTTCTTGGAAGCTGCTGAATAACAGAGTTAACCCGAAACTGGTCGCCCAGTGTCTGTCTGTCTGTCTGTCAGGTTTGGGTATCCGAGTGAGTGTGGATACAGGACAGCAGCGGGGAGACAGTGGGGATTGGGGAGAGTCTCTACCCAGTTGGTGGCGGTGGCTGTGTTGATGGCGGCGGGCACGTCGCGTCGCGTCGCGTCGCCTCGCACAAATGTTGCAAGTCGCGAGGCAAAGCGACACCCATACAGTTGTGGAGTGCTGTGTGTGCCAGAGCCAGGTATTCATATAAGCATATACGATTGCTAGTGCTATAGCAGCCACGGATGATTATGAATGTGAGACGACGTTCAGGGCTGAGAATAATCATGGAGGTGGGATTGAAAAACAAAATAGATGAAGCCCAAAGAAGGTAAAGACAAGTAAATCGAAAAGCAATCAACAGAGAGCTAGCAATTATGCGGATATATTAGAAGGGGAGCTCACTAAAATATTTCGGAATTTAATGCACTTAAGACGGAACCTAGGAAGATCATAAACTATGCACCTACATACATAGATATTCCTTTTCGAAAGTACAAAAGACTTAGGCCACAAACTTGATTTCCCAAATTATTATAAGACCCCCGCGTAACAATTTTGAACTTGTATCCACTCCGTTTTCCAACCCCCAGCAGGACTAATATCTCACTTACCCTGCAGCTTTTTCTCCGTCTCCCAAAATTTTTGCAATTCCGTGAAATATTTATCCAGTATGAAGACTTTTGACAGGCCCAATGTGGCCATCGTTGTTGTACATTTGTGTGGCCCCCGAAAGAGAACCACTAAACGGGTTTTTTGTTGGTGTTTTTTTTTGGGGGGGATTTCTGCTTTTCAAATGTTGGCAAATGTTTCGGGTTTCGACTGGGGTCCAGGACGAGGCAAGCAGCAACAACAACGACGACAGCGATTTTCTTATTTGAATAATTCCGATATACAGGCTCGGGATGCACGGGACACACGGGAGAACAGGTTTTCTCGTTTTCCGCACAGGCGCTGTACTGTTGCACTGTATCTGTATCTATGGCATACAGATGTATCTGTGTATTTGTGTGTGCAGCTGCAACAAGTGAAGCAACATACAGCACGGCACAGCACAGCACAGCACAGCACACAAAAATTAAATAAACAAGCAAAAAGAATGCAGAAGGGCGAGCAGCAGTCTCAGCCAAATCCCTGCCTGCCTCTCTTCGGTATCTGTCAGATACTTTTGGAGCACTCTGCAGCAGCAGCGGCGATGATTCTGGGCTCTTAGTCGGCCTCCGTCTCTGCCTGGGGATCGGATCTGCTTTTGCTTTTCTTATTATTATTATTTTATTTTATTTTTTGTTGTGTTTCGTAGCTCTCTCGCGGCGCGCGCGCGCTTTATTTTCTTGTTTTGTGCAGACTTTTGAGAAACGAGTTTCCAACTTCCAACTTCAACTCCAACTCCACCTCCAGCAGGCAGTGGAAGTGGACGCGGACCCAGTGTAGATGCTTAGATACCTTGAAGGTACACTCCACACACTCACTCACACATACACTCGCACACACACAGCGACGACACTCACTTGGGACTCACAGATACAAACAAGATTGATTCGCTTGGAAGTTTTTGGAGGCACTTTTCAACTGTTCACAGACCGACCCCGTGAACTCTTTGGTTATTAATTATTAGGAATAATTAGGATTTTGTTGTGCACGTCTTAACGATCATTTAATTTGAATTGAACCCAACTGTGGGTTGCAATGGGGGGCAAGGGATATATCTAGTTAGCACCGGGCATGTACCGATCGTTTGTAACTCCAGACGCAAACTGACGCTCAAGCCATCCACAGTCCAAACCGAGTTCCATGGATATATAGCCATGGTATATTTCAGAGAAGATGAGGTCGGTTTTCGCTCCAAATGAACGTTTGAATCTCTTATTTCGAGTTCTCACAGCCGAAACAGGTTTGGCTGCCCAGAAGAGGCCGCTCTTGTGCACTGCCTTACCTTCCGTTGAACTTCAACTCTGATTCAACTACACTCGCTCTCTCTCTCTCTCTCTCTCTCAATCTCCGCCCTGTCTGATTGCAGGTATATTTTTCTAACAAAAGGCTTTACCTTTACCCAAAAAGATCTCTGCAGATCTTTGTGTCTGCCTGTCTGTGTGTGTGTGGCTGGGCTGTTGTAGCTGTGTGCAGTTGTTCAAATATGAGGTCAAGTGTTTGAACTATGCGCCTCTGCCGCCACAGACATCGCTGGGGCATCGCTTCCCAGCTCGTTTTGCTGGTCTCGCGTGTTAATTAGTGTTGATTGCTTATTGTTTAATGTTGCATTTTACAATTCCCACATCTCCACTGCATGGCATTGGGTTACTGCATTCTCATTGTCAGCGGAGAGCACAGCAGAAATGCAAATTGTTTCACAAATCACGATTTTGGTTATCAGATTTGGTGTTTATTTCATTTCCGCTTAAATTGTTGATGCTTAAGTGCAAATGGAGTTGTATCTACTGATCTATGGAAATTGTATATTCTTTATAAATTCTCTTCATGCTAAATATATTTATTAAATTTTAATTATGGGAACATTTGAAACAAAAAAGGTTAAATTTCGTTTTGCTTTATTCAAACATTTGAAATACTGTTTTTATTACGGACACAAACCTTGTACGTAGTCTAGACAAAAACCCGGTGTTTTCTTGTAGCGCAAAACTGCTTTCGATCTGTGAACTGCTTGTTCAACTGCTTGATTTTATGCATGCTCATAGCGGGCGCCAGTGGCTCGCACTAATTCAAATATTTAAAACAGTTTAAAGGGGTTTTCATTCTCCCAGTATCTTCCAATAATCCAAATTTAACCTGTTTTATATTTAACCTACCTGTTATATTACCCGTTGTCTTGCTGCACGACTTCTTTCGCTTGGCCACTGGCAGCGTGTAAATGGCCGAGAACTTGGTGAATCGTTCAACCACAGCGCTAATCTTGCTGGAAATGGGATCCTTGGCTAACTTTTGCTCCTTTAGCTCTGCCGCCGGAACACCTGAGGATGGGGCAGTGGTGTCCACAATGGCGGGCGAGGCTTTTCGTTGTTTTGGCGATGGTGTGGTGGAACTGCGGAGCCAAAGGATTATTTTTAGATGCAGTAAGTACTAGTTTCGGGTAACGGAAACCCACCTAACTGCCTTGTGGTACTGACAGAAAAAGTCCGGACGCATGCGATGGCGACAGAGAAAGTCCTCACACAGCTTGAGCACATCATCGTCCTCGCAGTTATCGCTCTGACTGGTGCTCTCGCTGTGTTCCTCGTCTGCCAGCACCTGGGATTCATTCCGAAGACCCTCGTTCTGCCGCTCTGTCTTTGGTTCCTCCACCTGGGGACTGTACAGAAACGAGGGCAGGGAGTCGCCAAGAAAGTCTGGGATATTCTCAAAGAAATCCGCCGTGCGATCATAGCTGCTGCTGCTGGCGGCACTGGAGCTCTTGGAGCGTTGCTTGGACTGCGGCGACCGACTGCGACGGCTCTTGCGGTAGGTCAGATGCTGATGCTGATGATGCTGGCCCACGTCGTAGTCCGCGTACGTCTGATCCGGCAGCAACATGTCCTCATCCTCATCGTGGTTGACCCATTTACCGGCTGAAACAACACTGAAAGTGGAAGAAGTCAAGTGGAAAATGAGTGCAGTCTGCTGCTGCTGCAGGCGAAATCAATTGCGACATCAATTCGGATTTTAATTGCTTTTAAATCAAGTGGCCCAAAGGAGTCTGCGCTTGCGGAATGGTGCCGCGTGGAAGGTGGCGGCTGGCGGCTATGACTGCTATGACTGCGGCTTCCGCGTCTGCAGCTCCATAAACCTGTCAGTTTATTGGCGCAGCCGATTACCTCGATTAGCGTGACCATGACGAAGGTGACAGACATGGACGCTAATGCCTTTACAGCCACAAAAGCTGGATGGGATTTCTCTCTCGCACACTGTGCGCCTTTCCAGGTTCGCTTGCAACATGTTGCGACTTGCGACTGGCAAGAGCGTAAATAGATGATTTGCCAATCCAAATGAGACGCAATATTTATGCCACACGCAAGAGAGCGAGGAGTGTGGTCCCCAGTCCGTGGTCCCACTGTTGCTGTTGCTGTTGCTGCTGCTTGGCAATTAACTCAAATGATTGTCATAAAGTGTTGCGATCTGTGTGTGTGTGTGTGTGTGTTGCGTCGGGGAGGATGACCATGTGGCTGCCATCAGCAGTCGGAGCCGCTGGCGTCGGCATTTTTCAGTGTCAACACAGCGGGCGGCGGCAGACTTTGAGTTGAAAGCCGAGCAGCATCAGCAGCAGCAGCTCCGCAGCCCGCAGTTCTTAAGCTCAACCCGATATCTGGAGCTGGAGTTGAAGCTGTTGCCCCCCCGCACACCTCTTTCTGGTTTATTATAGCGATTACGCAACATGTGAGAGTGCAGATGGATTTGACGGGAAAGTTTGTTGCAGAACTTCTTATGAAGGAGCGAAAGATTAGACCAGATCAACTGCACTGCAAGTACTATCTTGTTGTGCTTTGATTTTTGTCAATTAATTGATACTGAATGGCTGTACCCTCAGCTACCCCCTCCCAGCAGAGAGGAACATTGTTGCTGATTGCTGACTGATTACACATCAAAGGAAATGTCTGGCCATAAATCGGCTTAAACAACGGAAACAGAAGCCACAGTCTAGTCCACCGGTCTAAACAATTTGATCTACCTAAAACATGGCTAATCGCATAGCTGGAGACTTTTAGAATGAATAAAATATGTCATCTAATACACGAACACACACACACACACAGAGAGAGGGGTTACAATATCAGGTTGCGACATCGCATAAAATAAAATAAATCTCATAAATATGCAGGCTCCTTGGGATCAGAGCAGCGGAGAACCTCAGCGACTGGGGGACTGCAATCGCTCCCTGCTACCTGTGGAAATGTTTGTGTGCCCGCTCAGCCTGAAAGTTATTTATTCTAACTACGACTACGATATACAATTTCCACTCCAATCTGTAAAGTGGAAGACACAGCGCTGCTGTGGGTCCTACAAGTCTGCAGCACATCTCTACAGGTCTCTGCAGCTCCCTAGCTCTCTGAAGAGCTTTCCTTTGAATGTATTCTCATGTGGGGGGGGGGGGGGCACCGCTTGGTAATTTGCATTTTCCAGCGAGATCAACAAATCAGCATTCTTCCAGCTGAGATATGAATTAATTAACAAGCAAAACTATTGCAAGAAACAATGGTAAATAATATTTACAAAGGGGTTGAGAAGAGTGAGTAACTTCTTGGAGAACAAATATCTATTCCAAAAACTCTTATAGATGATCTTGAACACTGTCTAATATTTCTGCAAATCTCTGCCAGAATCCTTCCCTATTTTTGGTGTTTTGGTTGCCATCTTTAGAGCAGCTGGACAAACATTTACAATCAATTTGGAGTCATCGTTCGTGCAATTTCCCAGGCCAGCAAATGATTACAGACTTGAGATCTAGGGTCCCGAGCCTCCCAGCCCGTATGCTCTTCTACGCTTCTACCAATCGAATTGCACTTTTGACTCTGCTACATGGAAATTACATGATTTAACTTAATTTAATAAAGAGCCAAGGGCACTGAACAACTACTCGCAGAAGCGAGGGAAGGATCGCTGCATCGCTGTGGCATCCTCCGAATGGTTGTGGCGTGTTTTTCGTGGCTCGCTTTTGTGATTTACCGCAGCGGTGCCCCCGCGCTCTGGATACCTCTCCAAGGGTCGGTCGGACACCGCCCCCGTCTACTCGAGAGCACACAGCACAGAGCTACAGCATCATCGGTAGGGAAGAATCAGAGTTGGAGCCACAAACTGGCGTCTTGGTCGTCCATCAACGTGGTGGGGCTACGCTGCCCGTCCTCGAGCCCCCGGCCACACTCTGAGAATTTCTTACCCCCAATCCAATTAACGAGGGTTACCTTGTTGCGGCCCCCCAATTGTTGTAGCCGTTTCTCGCAGTGCATGGATTTGTGTAGATCAAGAGATTTTGATTAATAGGTGGTGGTTGCCTTTGCCTTTGCCTTTGCCTGGTTTTGCCTTTGCCTTTGCTTTTCTGAGCCTCAACCTCTCTCGCATTGCATCGAGGCCGGACTGGGGCAGCGACTGACTCCTTGGCCATGGCCTGAGGTTAGACATTGAGAAATATTTTTACGAATCGAGTCGACAGACGAAGGCAGTCGAAACTCAATGAATATTTCGTTGGCTCTCGCATTTGCTCTGCTCTGTCCGGACTGTCGGTCGATCAGCTCAGTTATCTTCCCCCTATTTTCTATGTCCTTCTATCGCAGAGTGCTCTGCTCTGCACAACTCTGTCTAATAGGATGCGCAAATTTCAGACATTAATATTCATTTTCCAAGAACAAAGATCCCTATCGATTTATGTGTGTATTTATGCGCGTCTGATAAATCATCTAAAATCTCATACTTTTTGTTGTTTTTCTTTTTAGGTGACTTAAAGATGGGAGGTTTAGATGAAGGACTGTGAGAAATGTTTGTGTGGTAAGTGGAAGAGAAACAGTGATAGAAAATACTTTAAGAAAGAATAGAATTTGAGAAAAATCATACAAAATAAAGATCACTCTAGGAGCAGTTTTTTAAGTCACCTTTTGGCTATAGCCATGAGATTTTTACTACTGCTCTAGGAGCATTTCTTTGAGAATACTTTGAGCTATAGATATACGATTTTTAGTGATTTTTGTTTGGCGTATCTTGGTGGATATTCTGGTGTTAATACGCCTCTCCCTGACAGTCCTTCGCCTGCACATTGCTTTGGAAATTTAATTAACT